GGAATGGCCCGGCAGCAGTCCGCCCACGCCGTCGCCAGCGCCTGCCCCACGGCGTCGAAGTCTTCCCTGCTCCTCCCCACGAGCAATGCTTCCTTGACCGTCACGCCCAAGCCTTCGGTACTCTCGTCGGGTTGAATCATCGGCAGAGGGGCATCCAGGTCCAACTGCATGCCATCAGTCGCGTCAGCGAAACCGCCGCGCTCCATCATGCCCTTCAAGATGACGTAGTACTGTTCCTGGAAGAACTCTCGAGGCGCGTCCGTGGGGAGCGCGGCCCGCAGCGACGCTGGAAACGCAGCGCGGCGATCGGCCCACGCCAGTGCCACGGACACGTTCACCTCTTCCAGCTCTTCAGCGCTCCTCCCTGCAAGCAGCGCTTGCTTCGCCTCCATGGGCATGCCTTCGGTGCTCTCATCGGGCGAAACGACTGGCTCCGCCAGCGGCAGCGCCATCTCCAAGTCGCGCCCCGCGTCCTCGAACTTCCCCTTCGCCGTCATGTTCTGGAGAATGAGGTAATAAGTTTCTTGCAGAAACTCCGACGGAGGTACTTTTGGCAACGCGGCCCTGTAGGACGCGGGTATCGTGCTGCAGCGATCTGCCCAGGCAGACGCCACGGCGCGGTCCACCTCCTCCAGGTCCCGGGCGCTCCTCCCCGCAAGCAGGGCGTTCTTAGCGTCCAGACAAATGCCCTCCGTGCTTTCCTCTGGCCGCACCGCCGGCCGCGGAGCAGCCGCCGCCGACGCCAGCGCCCCCGCGGCATCTGCCTGGCGCCGCGAAAGCACGACGTCTTCCATGATGTCGTAATACTGCTGGATGAGGAACTTGCTGCAGACACCGTGCACGCCCCCCACGACACCCTCGACGGACGAACGGATTCCGCGCCACATATGGTGCAACTGCGCGTCGAACACGGCAACGTCAGCGGACGTGAGCTCCTTCATGACGGCCACCGCGGCAGCCCGCTTCTGCTCGCACGGCAGACTACTCGGCTGCACCATAGGAATGAAGACGCCGAACTCGAAGCGGTGCGAGAGCTTCCCCGAGTCCGCGAACTTAGCCACGTAGAACTCCCGCACGTGCGTGTAGTACGAATCACGAGCCCACCGCGCTTCCCGGACCGGCGGAGGCACGTCCGCGTCCTCGCAGGCGTCGCGGAAGAAGGCCGCCTTCCTCGCATCGATGAAGGATTGGAGCTCGACGTACTCTGTCTTCATCACGAACGCGGCCCAGCTCGCGGCCGCGTCGCGCTCTGCCTCCCCCGCGCACTCCTCCGGGCGCACCAAGGGGAACTCCCCCGCGTTGGCGCGGCGAGCAATGGCGTCCACCAGACTCGCCAGCGCGTCCCCTTCCTCATCGTTGTCGTCGTCGCCACATCCGAGCGACACGCACAGCGCGTGGAAATCTGCCATATTCACGTCGTGGCTCTCATCCCACCCACGGGCTTGCATGGCGCAGGAGATGTCTTCACAGCTCTTGCCGAACTCGGCGAGGAGCATCTCCAACCCCGCAGCGCCTGGGCGCCTCAGCACCCCATCCGAACCTGACGCCGCCTGCTCGAAGATTGCCACAATGCGCGCGTCCATCGCAGAAAGTCGCCTCTGCGGGGAGAAAGCGCTAGAGTGGACAGCGGAATCGCGCAAGAGCCAACGTGCCTGCCAATGCAACATGTTTATATCACATACACATGCGCGGGGAATGGTTGCGGACTTCAATGCAGTCTGTTCCTCTTGATCACCCGACTCCTCCCGAAACTAACACATCGTGCCCCCTCTTGTCTAGGAACGCGTGGGCACGACTTATCTGACATCGTGGGCTTCTGCACCCGGCGTGTGTCGCGGTGCGCACTACCGAGTCCGCGCCTGTTATCCAGTTCGGGGGAACATCAATATTTCTCCGCCCTTGTTGTGGACACGGCCGACTAACAGCTCGGAGTTTCGCCCCTCCGGCAGAGCGGCCGGGCGATAATGCCACACCCAGGCTAAAGCAAGAACAGAGAGCAGGGAGAACTGTGAACAAATCGTGCCCTGCCCGCATTGGTGTAGCAGCATGCGAACAGCAGCGAGCAGCGATTGGAAGCGATGTTCACAAATTGTGCCCCCTTCTTGTGTAGCAGTGTGCGGGCAGCACCGGGCAGCGATTGGAAAGCGACGTTAACGAAACGTGCCCCACTCTTGTGTAGCCACGCTTGTACATGTCGTGCCGGTGCGTTTGTCGGAGTGCGTCCTGGCCAGACTCTCAAGGTCGGACCTGGCCGTGGCGACGACGAAACCTGCGCCACGTGGCGTACCGAGCGCGGCTGGAGCACATGGCACACTCGGCACACGTGGAACAATTGGCGCATCTGGCGCACCATGCGCGCCTGGCACGCTGGGGCCCCTGAAGCACCTGGCGCACTTGGTGCGGGTGGCACACCTGGCAAGCGAGACATCGTGTGGCATTCCGACGTGCCGGGTTTCAAAGGCCATGCCACCCAACGCCCGGATTCCAGCCTCGGCCCGGCTCTGGCCAGCTGCTCGGAGCCGCCCAGGTCGCCGAATAATAACCTTGTACGGAGTTTGAGCGCCCATCGAGAGTACAAAGCTGCCGCCCACGAGTTGGTGGGGCGGAGAGTCTGAGGTCAACCGCCAGCTGGCTCGAGTTTGGTACATGGTGCGAGTTCACGCAATTTTTAAAATGATTGTGGCAATTATGAACTGTTACAATGCTGTTGGCGATCGATGAATAATGCCTGTATATCAGAATATGATCTGAACGCCAGGCGTGATCCCAAGCCTATCGACAACAAGTAGAGCAACCCGCTGCGACGTCTTCCCACAATGTGCAGCGTATGCGGGCCATCCTGCTTGCAAGCAAATCACACTTCCATCGATCACTTGGGGGATCGACGATCTGGAGTGCAGATCGAGCTCTCACAGGGGATCGGCGTCCAGATGGAGGTCTCCAGCTCAGAGCTGCATATGGGCACCCCTCCGACAACTCCATCTCTTTTCGCTCCCGCGACGTCGATTCTTTCTCGCAACGTGGTCCCCCGGATGCCTCGAGCCGGCTTTTTGTTCCAAATCGATTCTTGCAGCCCCAAGGCCGGGAAACGGCCTCCGGAGGCCGACAACGCCAAAGGACCGCCCGTTGCAACGCTTGTTGCGTCGCCAAATATCTGAAGGAAATCCACTCAAGATGGGTCCCCGGACCCCCCCCACCATGGTCTACACGCACAATTTTTTCGCGCTGCGTGCAGCCGTAGCGACCCCGGACCCCTTCCCGGGGTCCATCCGATGCAGCGTTTCGTGCTGGGTCCGTTTTTGAAGGCCCCGGGTCCCGAAAACGGCCTCTGCGGGCCGAGAGCGACGAAAAACCAAGGCCGCCAACAAAAAATCGGCGGAAAAAGTTACGCTAATCTTTCGGGCCAGCGGGGGAGGAGTGGGAGGAGCGGCAGAGGGCGCGGAGGGGCAGGGAGCGGGAGCCGGGGGCCGGGAGGAGGCACCGGGTACCCTCCAGGGATCTCCGGCCTCCGCCGGGTCCAGGCTCAGCTGCTGCGCGCCGGCCAGGAACTCGACTGGTTTCAGCGATAGCCTGCAGAATGCATTGCGCGGTACCCGATTGAAGAAAAACGCCTGGCGGGCGCTCCAGGACTTCACACGCGCTACCCGATTGCACAGAGGCGCCTGGCGGGGAGCTGACCAGGACTTACTGCTGAGACATGCTGAAAAGTGCCGAAGAGTGGGGTACTGCAGATTTCTCCGCCCTGTTTCCCTCCGTCCTTCTCTCCTCCCTCCTCCATCCCCCCTCCTCTCTCCGAGTGCCGAAGAGTGCCAAGCAGTCCGGAATGGACGGGAGGAGACAAGGAAGGACGCGGGGGGAGCACTCATTCACGTTGCCTCTGGAGGCCCTCCTCCATCTCCACCTCCTCCTCCTCATCATCCTCCCCCTCCTTCTCATCCCCCGCCTCCGAACCTACGCGCGGGCCCGCGTTCACTGACGAGAGCTGTACTCCACGTGGATCTTCCGACCGCGGTGCCAGCTTCCGGCCCACGACTGGACCGCCCACGCCGCCACCTGGGAAAGGGAAGTGACCACGATGGAAACCACCGCAACCGCAAGTTCACAAAAAGATTCCAGGACGGGCGCAATCCCAAATTTACATGGCAGCGTCTCGCACTTGCACTCACGGTGCACTCTGCACTGCGCGCAGCGCATGCAATTACACGCGCCTTCGCCTTGCAAACATCACCCCAGGAACCATCTTGATAACACCAAAGGTGACCTGTGGGACCTGCGGGACCTGTGGAACCTGCCGGAATTGGGAGAAATGTTGGGAGCGTGAGCCCTGTGGAACTTGTGGGAGCTGTGCGGGCTGCGGTAGCTGTGGGACCTGAGGGACCTGCGACACCTGTGGGACCCTTGGGACCTGTGGGACGCGTGGGCCTGGTGGGACCTGTGGGGCCTTCGAAATTGCCAAACTTGTCGTCCCTGCGAGACCTGTGGGACCTGTGGGACCTGCGGGGCTTGCGCCACCTGCGACACCTGCCTGACCTGTCGGACCTGTAGGACCTGAGGGACTCGTAGGACCTGTGGGACCTGCAGGACCTGCGATACCAGTGGGACCTGTGGCGCCTGTGGCACCTGTAGGCCCCGTGGGACCTGCGGAACTTGCGGGGCCTGCGGGACCGGCGCGACATGTGGGACCTGTGGGACCTGTGGGACCGGAGGGGCTGGGTGGACCTGTGGGGCCTGTGGGACCTGTAGGGCCTGAGGGGCCTGTGGGGCATGCGTCGCCTGTGGGACGTGTGGGACATGCGGACCTGCGCGACCTCTGCAAGTGGCAATGAAGCAACCCCACGAGAACGCGATACGTGTGAAATCGAAGCACGTGCCAACAGTAACCGCGACAACAAAACAACCAACAACAAATCATGTTAAAGAAACATCCATAACTTCCGGTTGCGGTGGTTTCTTGCGCAATCAGGAAACAGAACAGCTCCCTAAACAACAGCGGTTCCCCCCTAAACCCGCCGCTCCGCCTCTGGGTCCGCGTACTGGACGACGCAGGACCCGTTGAAGCGCTTACGGTAGTCCGCGTACCACTCCACGCGACAAACCTGGGAGGCACAACAATGCGAGACGCACCGACCACCGGAATCCCGTAGAACAAAATTGCAGTGGGGAGAAAGTTCGCAGACGAGCCTCGCCAGCTTTGCCGAAGTCGACGAACACCTCGTGCTTCGACAGGGTCCAAGGAAGCTGCGCCACGTACACGCGGCTGCCGCGCACGGGGGACCGCGAGCGACCAGCGTCCTGGGAACCCCGCCCGCATGCAATGTATAGCACATGTGCACAGAGAATCCGACAGACCCCAAAAAAACAAAAACACAAAGAAGTCCTCCAAAGCAGGCAGCGGCGGCGTCGTAGGCGCGCGAGGCGCGTCTCCGACTGCAAGCGGGGCCCGCCGCGCCGCGACGACGGCAGGGCGGTAGCTCGCGTCCGGCTGCGCGTCGCCGTCGACGCGCCTCTCGGGAGCACACATCAAAAAACGTTGGAAACGCTACGGCTCCGCCATTCTCTCCGCAGCCCGAAAAAAAACTGCGCACGACACGCCAAAACGCCGTTACAACACCCGCGCGCCTGTAGAAAGCGGAGTGCACCCAGGGGCCGCGCAAGTCCTGGGTGTCACAGGTGGACCCACCGACATGCGGCGCGCATGCCCACATGCGAGTGAGACGGACAGAGAAGCGGAGAGAGACAGAGAGACAATAGGAGACAGAGAAAGACACAGAAGGAATAAAATAGCAACAGTCAGAGGAAGTACAGACAAACACATCTGCAGAATGGTAGACGACACTACAACAAATGGCACCGCCGTGGTGGCCTTGATGAACTTATCCACGTTCACCGCAACCACAGTACGAGTGTACGTCACGCCAGGCGCCCCAGTAGCCTGGACGAGCACCTTCTTGCCCAACAAGTCACCCGCAGCGTCTTCGGGCGCGCTCGCCGTAGCAACCTCTGGCGCGAATGCCGAATAAACCCATACTGTGGGAACACGCAAGCATGCGATGCCCAACGCAAAAGCGCGACAGACCTGCGCGAACGCCCGGGCTGAGACCGGGAGCCGCACGACGACGGCTCTGCGACTAGACACGCCACGAATGCCGAAAGTGTAAACGAATGGTGTGTGGCACACACCCGTGCCCCCCACATGAAGACGCGATGACACCAAAAACCGAACACATAAAATCACGGTGTTGCCCAATCACGTACAAAGACGGGCGCCTTGTAGCACCGCCCGTTTGTAAAAAAAACAGCCGTGCTGAAATAAATGCGCAACGCGCGGAAGCAAGCCTGGTACTGTGTCGGCGAGACCCACACCGTGGACTCCTTGTTGTACTGCCCCAAGCCTGGCCGCGCGATTTGCGCCTGGCCGTCCAGCGCGACAGCGTACACCTGGGGAACACCAACGACAGAAACCTCTCCACACCAACAGCCCCAATACCTCTACGCACAACACGGATGACCGTGCGAAAGAAAGCTCCCAGAAAAATCAGGAAGCTCGCACGACGGAGTGGCAACGTAGCGGCGGCACCTTGTGGCCGAAGATCCAATCCCCGTCAGCCACCACAAGAACGCCCGCGGAGGCGCCGAGGAAACTGGAGAAGGCCATCCCGAAAGAGGACAGGAACAACGGCTGAACAACTGACGGAGCCAAACGTCTCCATAACGTTTACAAAGACCGACCGCGCGGCAGCACATGCGTACGTACAAAACCCCACGCCACCCCACACACATACACACCCACACACATACATACACACACGCAAACGCACACACACAAACACCTTTTTTCTATCGCACGACATGATGGCCCTGTCACGGCACACATGTGCCTGTGCATTGTTCACCTGATTTGACGTCGCCTGGCGTACAAAAGCAAACCCACAACCATTCGTACTTCGCGCCACTGCACGTCCACGAACAACGGCATCCGATAAGACTCCATACGAACAGACAGGCGACTACGCAGCTGATGCGACACAGATGGCTGGGCACAAGTACGCGCGCACGCACACGTACATTTTTTCGTCGGCGGCGGAGCAAGTGGTCTGCGACAGCGTCCCGGAACGTGGTTTTCGCACGTTGCGAAGTGTCTGCAATTCAACACATGGGAACTCCGCCACCGTGACTCTTGGCACAGAGTGAGCGTGTCCGAAAGTCCTCTGCCTCATCCCCTGAGCATCAGTCCTCATACACGAAGACTCTTTTCGGGTACCAGAGCCGTCCCAAGATGTGCCCAAAGGGCCCCGAGAGGCCCCAAGACGCCCCAAAGATGCCCCAAAAACGCCCCAGAGGCCCCACATCGCTTTGGACAACCCGCGCCGCAATGAATCACAAAGTGACTGCATCGATGAATCCATGAATCAATGAATCAGTGCATCAATGAATCAATGAACCAATGAATCAATAGACCGTGAGTCCATGAATCACTGAATCAATCAATCAATGCGTCAATGAACCAATGTGTCCCATTTCGCTGGGCCTTACAATGTCCTCGACGAACCCGAGCAAGCGTCAAATGACGTTCGCATTGTGCCGCTGGCCTGCTGCCAATCTTTTCCATATGCGGATGATGCCGAGCCACTCGCTGCCTCTGAACGCGTCGGAATCATTGAAACAATGAATCCACGCACCAATGAATCAATGAATCAATGAGTCCATGAGTCAATAGACCGTGACTCAAAAACCACTCAATCAATCAGTCAATGAGTCAATGAACCAATGTGTCGCGTTTCGCTGAGCCTCACCATGTCCTCGACGAACCCGAGCGAACGTCAAATGACGTTCGCCTTGTGCCACTGGCCTGCTGCTCATCTTTTTCATGTGCGGATGCTGCCAAGCCACTCGCTGCCTCTGAGCGTGTCGGAATCAATGACTGAACGCACCAAAGAATCTATGAATCAAGGAAGCAATGAATCAATGAGTCAAGAGACCTACCGATCTCTGTTCAATCGGAATTCGTGTTCCAACGCACCGGTACTCCAGGGCACTGCGAAAGCTATGTCGATTGCGCTTGCACCTTTGCCCTTTGACGGCCCTGGGTCCCGCAAGAACCCCCCCCCCAGAGGCTCGCGAATGTCAGTGTTCATAGTTGCACGACGTTGGAAAATTAGGCCCCGGGCTCGAAAATAAATCGGCCCCCGACCCTGTCCTGGAGCGCGTTTCGGTCACGCCCTCTCTCTCTCTCCCTCTCTCTCCAAACCCTCTGCGTCCATGCAAACGTGGCGGCATGCACAAAAACGGGTTCCCCCAGCGATCAAAACACACGTGTTTGCCAGAGTTTGCCACATGAGACGCTCGCCACAACGTCTTGCGATTAGGAATCGCCAGTGGTCCGAACGCCTACGACGCCGAATGCCAAAGAAAAATGCACGCAGAGATGGCCTGTGGGACTGGTGCGGGCCCTCTGCTCACCATCCTGCCCCCCTCACAACCCAACCAAAAGACAAAGTCCGAACCCACAGTGAAGACGACACCGAAGTACTGATGCAAGACCCTTGGCTTTCGAAAGTGGTCATCGAGAGACGCCCATTGGCCAGAAACTGCCACAAGATAATGCAAGGGCGCCGTTGAAGAAGCCCTGGGTGGGGCTCCCACCCTCCCCCTCCCCCCCAGTGCAGCGCGGCAGCCGCCGGCCATCGCTGGCGGCGCGGCGCCGACGCGAAGCCAGACGCGCTGCCCTCAGCAAAAAACTCTCGGCGAAGTCCCTCACTTCGGCCCCCCTGCTGTTCCATCCCTCCCCCCTGGCTCCTCTCTCCTTTTCACCCCCTCGTACATTTGCCGAACATCGTCAACAGAAGCACGAAACATCGTCAACAGAAGCACGAAACATCGTCCACATACCGATTCTGACTATTCTTGAATAGCTCTCCCGAGGGACATGCCCGACTTAACCCTACAGGTAAGATGTTGCTAGAAATGCCCCTGGCGCAAGGTGCCCCCAGGAGTTCTCAGGCCTCCCACGGCCTCCAGAGCACCCCACCACAAGGCTCAGAGGGCCCCAGGGGGGCCCTCAGATTGAGCGAAAAGCTAGGGGGGCCTTGGGCCAGGGGCACCTTTAGCCACCCCCGGACAGGGCGCAACAAGGGCGAGGCAGGAACTGCCGACCCACTGAGCGGCGGAGTGTTAAAAAAAGCAGTCGCAAACTGTTCCGAGCGGGCTGGCGGCACAGCTAGGGGAAGGAACAGTGGCATAAACATAAACACTCAGAGATCCGCGCGGATTTCTCGGATCCGCGCTGGACCCCCCTCCCTGGCGCGCGGAACGCGCCAGGAGCGGGACCGGAGGCGCCGCCAAGGGGGTCCAGCGCGGATCCGAGAAATCCGCGCGGACATCCGAGTTTTTATGTTTGTGTCATTTTTCGTTCCCCTAATAGCGGTTGCCAGGGAGCAGAGGAAAAAGTAGCAGCACGAGCATGCGCTGTCGTACGCCCGCACGGATCTCTCGGATCGGTGTGCTGACCCCCCCTCCCTGGGTCGGGGTGACCCAAATTCGGGGTCCAGCTGCAATAGATCTGGGGCAATTGTATTGCAAATGTACTGCGCCGGAGAACTGCATTGCACGCGAAAATACAGCAATACAACCTCTGCGCCCCGAAATGTATTGCACGCCCCAAAATGTATTGCAACCCCACAAATCTATTGCACCAAATCTATTGCACCACCCCCTTGTCGCTGGACCCCCTTTTGGGTCAACCCGACTGGGGCGTGGAGCCGCGCCCCAGGGGGTGGCGCCAGAGGCGCAGCCGAGGGGGTCCGGCGCCTGACCGAGGACACTCAGCGCAGAACTCCGAACATCGAGGAGGAGGAGGAGGAGGAGGAGGAGGAGGAGGAGGAGGAGGAGGAGAAGGAGGAGGAGGAGGAGGGAGGAGGAGGAGGAGGAGGAGGAGGAGGGAGGAGGAGGAGGAGGAGGAGGAGGAGGAGGAGGAGAAGGGATGCCAGTGCAGCTCTTTGTTCCTCTACAATGCGAGGAGCCAAGGTGGGAGCGGGGGGCTCCTGCCGATGGTCCTCCGGGGTGCGTGTCAACCGGACGCCCCTCAAGACGACGCGGGGGGTGCCAAGGCTGGCAGACGCGGGTTGCGTGCCACGAGGAGAGCTGAACTGGAAGGACACAAAGATACCGATGCCGCTGCTCCCAAAACTCTCCCAGGATGCGTTCTGACAACAGTGCCGGGGGGAAGCCGCCCGTGGCGACGAAGGCTCTCCAGGACTAGCGGCGTCATCGTTATCTCCGCCTCCTATAAGCACGGTAAGCACACATTCGGCTACAGTCAGACTTGGTTGGACTGGACACCCACCAGACTCTTCCGACGGCAGCGTGGCCCCAGAGCACCGAAGGAGATGCGGGTTGCATCATGAGGTCGTGATCGACAGGACAAGCTACCCTCGATTTGGCATGATCGACCTACCAATCAGGGCCGACTGTAACCCAAACATCCGACGCCGTGATTCGTTCTCAACGTCGCTCCCATCGGTCTGTGCCCCTTCCTGGGGACCCCTAAAAGGTCTCGACCCATGCCGCGGGACCGGTTTTTCCAAAGGGCCTCCAGGGGCCAAAAATAGCGAAAAACTCACCGTCGCGATTTCTTCATGACTCGAGGGGGTCTCGGAGACGGATAACCCAAGCATCCGACGTCACGATTTGTTCTCAACGTGGCTCCCCAACGGTCTATGCCCTTCCCGGGGCCCCGAGAGGTCTCGACCCATGCCCCGGGACCGGATTTTCCAAAGGGCCCCCAGGGGCCGAAAATGTAGAGAAACCCTCCGTCGCGATTGCTTCATGTCTCGAGGAGCCTCGGAGCCGGATAACCCGAACATCCGACGTCGCGATTCGCTCTCAACGTGGCTCCCCAGCGGTTTGCGCCCCTTCACGGGACCTCCCTAGAGGTCTGGACCCATGCTCCGGGGCCGGAGGTTCCAAAAGGCCCCCAGGGGCCGAAAATACATAGAGAAACCCTCCGTCGCGATTGCATGACTCGAGGGGGTCTCGGACTCGGATAACCCAGACATCCGACGCCGCGATTCGTTCTCAACGCGGCTCCCCAGCTCCCAAGCGGTCTGCGCCCCTTCCCGGGGCTCCCCAGAAACCTCGACCCATCCCCCCCGTCCGGTTCGTCAAAAAGCACCCAGGGGCCAAGAAAAGCGACAGACCCTCCGTCGCGATTTCTTCGTGACTCAAGGGGTTCTGCAATCCAGGGAATCCAAAACGCGACGTCCCCAGACGTGCCGCCCTTCCCCCTTCGCCCCCTCCTCCTCCTCCCCCACCTCCTCCGTTTTCTTCTCCTCCCCCTCCTGCTTCCCTTTCCCTCTCCTTTTCTCGCCATTGCACTGTCGCCCCTCTACACTGCGACCGCCCCCTTTCCCCCCCTTCCTTCAAAACACACACACACACACACACACACACACACACACTCTTTTTCCCTCCCACGTCGAGAAACACAACTGTCGCAATAGCCACGCTTTCTTCAAGGCCCCCGCAGGGGCATCCACGGGCAACGAGCCCCCACAAACGCGCCAGGCACACCCCAGGGCAGCAAAACCTAGAACCCCGTGGAACCAACGATTCCCCCGCCACCCCCACAGACGGTCGCCACGAATCGACACGAACCTGTTCCACCGGGGCATCTTCACCACAAAAGGCCGAACGCAACGACTCAACAAAAAAAACAGCCCCCGCTCCCTGCAGCTCCGCACTGCCGACGACCTCTCATCCAGTCGACCGCGGTGCGCAATACGGGCCGGCGGAATGAGCGAAGCGATTAATAAATAATAAAGGGGTGCAGGGATCGAACTGAACGGTCGTTTTCGTGTTGTGTTTTCATGTTGCCTCGTTAAGTCTTCAGTCTGCTTTTGCTGAAGGACGAATTCGAAACGAAATCGGCCCACGAATTCGCCAAAACACCGTTTAGGTCAGCCCCTGGAGGTTTGTTCGATTTGTTGTAAGGTTTCGGGATGATCGTCGTCGACGACGTCGTCGTCGCTGTCGTCGTCGTCGTCGTCGTGTCTTCGTCGTCGTCGTCGTTCGTCGTCGTCCACAAGGGAACCGCACCGGGGCTCACGTGACATTTTTTCGATGGCTTGCGGAATTTCCTTCAAATCTCTGGGACTCGGGGGTGGCTTCCAGCCAGAGGCCTGCAGCGTCCCGACCCTGCATGGCTGGGGGCCTTGGGGTGGAGGGCATCCGACGTCGCGAGTTGTTCCCAGCGCGGCTCCCAAAAAGTCTAGACCCCTCCCCTTCGGGAACGGCCAAGAGGGGGGTGTCCAAGAGGGAGGGGTGCAAATCATGACCGGCGGCATGTGCGCGGCCCAGCGGGGGGGCCAGGGACGTAATGAAATAAAAAGAGGCGCCATGACATCTGGGGAAATATCATTGCCCACGCCATGATATCCCCCCCCCCTAGTCATCACCCCCCTCTTTGCCGCCCCCGACCCCTGTGACCTGCCCGAGGAGGAGAAAGAGGAGGAGGGGCCCGGTTTCTTGTGGCGGCCCGAGGGCCTGGCCAGACACTGGCCACGACGAGGAGGCCGCACGCTGGCCGGCCGCTGGCCAGACACGTCCGACGTGACCTCGTGGACCCTGCCACGACGCGGGAAGCAAATGTCTGAAAGGGAGACGTTGACAGCTAACCGAGCCCCAGGGCAATCAGCACGCAGGGTGTCCTGGTTGTTCTCGGGGCAGGCTGAGAGAAAAGAAGGCGCTCCAGTAGCGCTTCCAAGAATGACTTCAGTGAGTGCCTGGAGCCATTGGCTCGAGGCTCGGGGGGGAGGTGCTCTGCCGCTGGCGGGCTCGCCGAGGAGGGCGCCCGCTCCTGGCCCCACGGGCCGTGCAGAATCGAGGCGGGTCCGGAGGGCACGTGGCCGCGGGCGGACTCCCGGAGGGGCCCGGGCCCCCGCTCCGAGCGGGCATCGGCAAGCTGGCCGAGCGATGCAAAGCAAGAGGAGGGGAAGACGTGAAGAGGGCACGGTGGCGACGGCGGCGACGACGGCGGCGACGACCCAGGCAGACGACGACGGCGCCGACGACGTGGTCCCGCTCTCTGGGACCGACCCCGCGGCCAGAGCGAGCCGTCCGTTGACGGCCCTGGAGCCCAGAGGGCCACCAGAGGCAGATTATCCGGGCGAAAGACCCAACCAGATGCAGCTGTGAGTACCGTCGTTGCGGGTATCGCCTTCGGGGGATCTCTTCATGGGGCCATGAAGCATGCGAAGGGGGGTGTGCCGATGTGGGGCGGGGCCGCCATGTGGGCGATGCCACTGGGGGTGGAACCCACCATGGGGCCGCAAAACGCGTGAGGGATCTTCGGTAGGGCTCCCTAAGGGGCCACGAAGCGGTGGACTGGATGTGGAAAACGCATGCACGCACCGCCACTGAATCCTTCGGTGGGGCTCCCCATGGGGCCACGAAGCGCTGTACTGGGCGGGGGAAACGAATGCGCACACCGCCACTGCGGCCTTCGGTGGAGCTCCCCATGGGGCCACGAAACGCTGTACCGGGCGGGGGAGACGCATGCAAACACCGCCACTGGGGCCTTCGGCGGAGCTCCCCATGGGGCCACGAAGCGCTGTACTGGGTGGGGAAGACGCATGCGAACACCGCTCTGACGCCTTCGGTGGAGCTCCCTATGTCGCCACGAAGCAATGTATTGGGCGGGGGAGACGCATGCAAACACCGCCACTGTGGCCTTCGGCGGAGCTCCCCATGGGGTAACGAAATGCTGTCATTGTGGCCTTCGGTGGAGCTACCTACAGGACCACGAAAGGCTGCACTGGGTGGGGGGAGACGTATGCGAACGCCGACACTGAGGCCTTCGGTGGAGCTCCCCATGTGGCCACGAAACGTTGCACTGGGTGGGAGAGACGAATGCGAACACCGCCACTGAGACTTGTGGAGCTCCGTGTGGGGCCACGCTGTACTGGGCGGTGGTGCGGAGGGCAGAGGCAGGGATCGGCGGAGGGAGGAGGGGGAGGAGAGGAACGCGGAGCGAGGCCTCTTCAAAGAGGACCCAACACCACAGGATGGTTGGAACAACTTGGCAAACACATCGGTAGTGTTGTGTTCACGTCGCGAGGAGGCCGGGATTCGGTGGTGAAGAATAACCTTGGCTTCGCCAGCAAGAGATGAACTCTAGCGGCCGCGGGAACGATGGGGGCGGCGGCGGCGACAACGAGCGCAGGGAGCTGGGCTGGGCCTGATCGCCCTGGCATGCTGCTGCTCGGGGAAGTCCAGCAGCGCGCTGGCGGTACCGTACACCCTGGAGAGCCAGAGCCGTCCATCGTGCTGGTGCAGCGCTTCCGGCACTGCGCGGCGGCGGCGCCGGCGCGGTCACCGTTGCCGTCTCTAATGTTCGGGCTGTGAGGGTCCCCGCCTGGCCCCGTGACCATCACAAGCTTGGTTGCCGTTGAAAGCGGTGCTGGTGCTGCTTTCGCGTGTTGACCTCAACTCTGGCGGTTTTGAAAAAAAACTTGAATCGCGCCGCCACGTTCATCTGCAGTAGTATTTGTTTTCAGTGCGTGAGCGAGTCCAACCCTCTGGGTGAAAGCTCATGTTTGTCGTTCGGTCTGGTTCTTTTCGATAATTCCCTCGTGTTCCACTTCCTGGTCATCCTCCCCTTCTTGCTACCTCTTCGCTCCCTCTTGGTTTCAACTCGACACACGGATTAGCGCGTGCTGGTCTGAAAACGCCAAAAACATTGATAACGATATGCCCCCGGTGCGAAACGGGCCTGGCGCACTGTCAGTGGCGGCTGTCATAATAATGGTAGTCGTAGCGGTGACGGTAGTGGTAGTGGCGGTAGTAGGTGATAGTGGTAGCGGCGGTCGTAGCAACGCTGGTAGTGGTAGCAGTGATGGTAGTGGCATCGGACCTGAAAACGCTAAAACATCGCAGCGTATGTGCAACGTTTTCATGATCATGCTCAAGACAAAAAAAAACGGTCGAACAAGTTCGGAATGCGTGAGCCAGATCAGGGTCAGAGAACGGCTCGGGATGATGATTCGGACCTGCGGAGAAAGGCCCAGTCGGAGAACTGGGTCACCGTCGCCGTCGTCGTCCCCTCCAACCCCGCGCTTTCTTCCGCCTCCTCCCCCACTCGCCCAAAACGCCCCCGCTCGTCCCTCGATCTGCGCGCGCTTGGCCAGCGGTGTCCGCCGACTTCGAGCTCCGCTCCTACAAGGACCTCCGCCTCCCCGCTGTGCACGTACTCCCGCCCTTACGCTGATGGACTGCGTGTTCTGAGCGTGTCCTTCCCCTCCCGCCCCCGCGCTCCTCTCCCCCCTCGTCGCCCGCCGTGCCACATGCGGCCACGGGCATCCCGCTCCTGCCGTAGAACGCGGCTAGGTTTCTCGCCGCTGCGACAAACAAGTTTTGCCAGCGGCGCGCACACAGGGGGATGGCCCAGTGGGCGTCCTCCTAGCAAGGCACTGGGCTTCTTAGAAGAAGGAAAGGGGCATCAAAGAATGACAAAGGGGCTTCTGAAAACGCTCCTCGAAAGCCGGGAGGGCTTCCTCCGCCGCCGATATCGACGCTCGACGCCGTCACCGTCACCGCCGTGCTGATCCAGGGCTTCTGTTACTGCACGCGTTGTTGTCGTCGTCGTCCAGGTTCAAGGCTCGAGGGTCGACAATCTAGGGTCGCCTCCTGCGGAGCACCCTCGTCGCCCCGGCTATATGACCATCGACATGCTGACCAGAAGCCACCCTGGAAGAGGTCATGAGCGGTGTCGCCGTCGTCGTCGTCGTCGTCAGAATTAGCGCTTCCAGCACTGCGCGCCGCGTGGGTTCGAGGCTAAATGTTGGAGGGTCCACGTCGTTCGACGTCTGCCCCTTTCGTAGACAAGCGCGCGCCACTACTCGCAAAAAACACATCTCGCAAATGGCCTGGATCCGCCGCCTGGAATTTGCGATACACTACATCACAGCAGACATGGCTGATTTACCAGACGTTTGCGAGTAGACACGTTGCGAGTGGAAAAACGCGACCGGCGATTTTGACACCTCCCGATGCTTCCAAGGGCCTCCGGTCGGGGATCGGCTGACCCGGGTCAATACAGACCCGGGTCAGTCAGGCCTTGCAGAATCCTGCAAGATCCTGCACCCAAACCCGGTCAATGCAAAGGATCCTGCAGGATCTTGCAGGATCCTGCGCCCAAACCCGGGTCAAAGCGACCCTGCCCCTGCAGGATCCTGCAAAATCAGGCGCTCAGGCTGACCACCCCTCTGCATTGACCCCCGTCTCAAGGCTCCCAATCCGGAGAGACCCGTGGAGGCCTCTGGCCACCGTCGGTCGTCGTCGCCGCCTGCGTCCTCTCGCTCCTGCTCCTGCTCCGATTGCGGAGGCGGCCAGGACGGGGGGGCGTCAAAGAGGGGCGGGCGCTAATCATGGCCGGCGTTAGGTGCAAGGCCCAGGGGGCGACCCAGGGGACGTCATGAAAGAAGAAGAGGCGCCATAAAAACAGGGAAGGTATCATGGCCCCGCCATTATATCCCCCCCCCAGTCATCACCCCCCTCTCTGCCGCCCCCGACGATTCAAGCCCACGTCCTCCCAGGAAAAGACCCTGGGCCAGACGGGGCGGCACTCCGAGATGCAGGGGTTCTCATCTTGGAGGGCTCGGGGGCTTCCAGGGAGGACTCTCGCCCCGATCTTCCAGAGCGCTGACAAAAATAGCACTCCAGACCTATCGAACTGATCTGGACTGCATGAAGCCTCGAGCGAAATGCAGAGCAGAGGTCATGGTGCGATGTGTCCCTTCTGATGGTCGGGGCAGAAGGCGGGAGAGGGCTTCTGAGAATCCCCACGGCTGCTCAGAAGGCCACCCCCTCGCGCCCAAACCCTGGAACGAACTTCCAATAGATCTAGCGAGGGGCTGTGCCGTCGTTCCTCCTCCCGACACTCCTGACAGCATATCGCGACAGGTCAAGTTATGAAAATAAATATTTGCGCGGGTATGTATGTATAGTTGTATGGTTGTACTTTTGTTATGCGTGTATGTATATGTATGTGTGTACCCCGATGTGCATATAGTAAGTATGAAAATACATATCTGGATCAAAACATTGTGAACCGTCGCGCCGCCTTTGTATACGCCGACCGTGTCGTTCGATTTGCGGATGTCCTTGGGCCTCTTCTCGTAGCCCGGCACATCGTGCAAGTCCGCCAGCGTCTGCAAAACCTTGTGCACCTCCTCCCTGAGAGCGATGACGTCCTCCTGCCCCCGATCTCCGGGGCATGCGGGTTCGGATGCCAGCTCCCCCCGGCCTGGGCGCTGGGGGGGCGGGATCACGACGGGCGCACTCCTGTTGTGGTTCAGTCGGGCATGCCCTTCCACAGGAGAAGCCCTCAAACTTAGCCGGGCGAAATACCCAAACATATGCAGCTGTGAGCACCGCAGTCGTGAGTATCATCTTCGGTGGAGCCCCTATGGGAGCACGAAGCGTATGAGGGGTGTGCCGAAATGGGTGTGGCGGACGCATGTGGACGGTGCCACTGAGGCCTTGGGTGGAGGTCCCTATGGGGCCACGAAGCGTGTGAGGGGTGTGCCGAAATGGATGTGGCGGACCCATGTGGACGGTGCCACTGGGGCCTTCGGTGGAGCTCCCTGCGGGGCCACGAAACGTGAAAGGGGTGTGCCGATATGGGTGTTGCGGATGGGTGTTGCGGACGCATGTGGACGGCGCCACTGGGGCCTTCGGTGGAGCTCCCTATGGGGCCACAAAACGTGTGAGGGGTGTGCCGAAATGGGTATAGCGGACGCATGTGGACGGTGCCACTGAGGCCTTGGGTGGAGGTCCCTAGGCCTTGGGTGGAGGTCCCTAGCGGGCCACGAAGCGTGTGAAGGGCGTGCCGAAATGGGCGTGGCGGACGCATGTGGACGGTGCCACTGGGGCCTTCGGTGGAGGTCCCTATGGGGCCACGAAACGTGTGAGGGGTGTGCCGAAATGGGTATAGCGGACGCATGTGGACGGTGCCACTAGCGGGCCACGAAGCGTGTGAAGGGCGTGCCGAAATGGGTGTGGCGGACGCATGTGGACGGTGCCACTGGGGCCTTCGGTGGAGCTCCTTATGGGGCCACGAAACGTGTGAGGGGTGTGCCGAAATGGGTGTGGCGGACGCACGTGGACGGTGCCACTGGGGCCTTGGGTGGAGGTGCCGATGGGGCAGAGAAAGAGGAGGGGGAGGGGAGGAGGAAGGAAGGAAGGAAGGAGAACGCGGGGACCGTCTCTTCAAAACGGATGTGTTGATTATGTTTAATGTTTCCTCCCAAATCCGCCTGTAGGAGGGCATCTTCAGTTCTTGGCTGCGCCACCTGTCCTGCGAGGCCTCCCTCGCCACCGCAGGGGGGGCTCTGAGCATCGTTCATCCGACCCCCATCCCCAGCGGCGTAGCCTGGGCCCCACTGGCCGACTTCCCCCCGAGATGAGGATATGGGCCGTTCCCTTCGGGTTCCGAGGGGTGCATCCCCAACTGGGGTGGTAATTTTCAGGGGGTCTCGAAGGGGATGAGGATGGGGATGGGGGTCGGTTGAACGATACTGAGGCTCCCTCGCGCCTCGGGCCCACGGGGCCAGAGGCCCCGTGGGACCGTCGGCCAGCTGCAGCCTCGGCAAGTCACCCCTGGCCTCCACGCCCGCAGCATCGCCAGCCGCTGCCGCGTGCGCCCTCGGGCTGCGAGGGCGCGGCGCTCATAGATCACCCGGGGGGATCGAGGACGGCGAGACGGTCTGGTTCAAGAAAGGTGGTTTCGACGGCTGCCGGGGCGCCCCAGGTCGTGCCTGGAGTGCCTAAGGTCGGGCCGGGAGGACCTCGAGTCCAGCGACACCAACCTTGTCCAACGAACCCTTCTGGCAGCCTCCGAGGGGAGGCGGGGGTGCAGGACCTGTCGGCGTCGAATCGGGAAGCCGGCTCGAACCGAAATGTGCGGTTGCCCGGGCTGCATTGCCACGGGGTCGACATCGAATCGGACCGGCCGGGCCAGGGTGCAAACGTCGGGCCGCGTCGGACCGTCGTCATGCCGGCATCGAATCGGACATGGGACGGCTGGGGTCGACATCGAATCGCACCGATCGGATCGAAATGGACCCCTGGCCATCGCTCGGACGTCCATTCACTGTGTTCTTTTCGGTTTCGTGCGTGTTTTTTTCGCCAAATGGTCAAGGACGCTCCTCGATGGCCCTCGCCGAGAAAAAATGCACACGTCCGAGCAATGCCAGGACCCTGGCATCCCCAGCCCAAAATTCCGTTTCAAGCCTGCCATCGGGCCGCTCCTGGGGCCCGTGCTCGCCCGCCTGTGGCGGCGCGAGCCTCCAGCAGCGCCACGGGAGCCTTCGGACCGAGCGGAGGCGGCGCGTCCGGGCTGCGGCGGCCTCGTCGAGGGCAGCCCTCGCTCGAGATGGGCCCCCGGATCCGCACAGCAAGAAGAGGTATCGATGCCATGCTGGTCGGAGGGCCCGATCGGCGCGTTTTGAGTTATGCTGTTCCCATCGTGCTTAAGGACCACATCCCCCCATACCCCTGACAGCCCTTCAGTTTCGCTACACTCCTGGTGCACGAAACTCTTCGTGGACATCGAGAATGAAACAGGTTGGAACGTCAAAGGTTGAGGGGCCACGGTAGACGTGGACTGGCTCAGAGGGAGGGGAGTACTGACCTGGGATTATGCTGTTCCCATCCTACTTAAGGACCACATCCCAGAAATAATTTCGAGCACCGGGAAAAGTGTCATAAGAGTGTCGAAACAGTGTCGAAACAGTGTTGGGCGAGTGTCTCCCAGGGCCCGACACGCGAAAACCCTTGAGTTTCGATACTTGTTTTGGCCGCTCGAGATTCTTCCTGGCGATCAAGGCTGAAGTAGGTTGGAGCGTCATAAACCTGGGATCGACGATGCAGTTCCAGTAGGGACCGATAGCTCGCCCAACCCAGGAGCGTGCGGCTTCGCTATTGTGGGTCTATCTCGGGCGTTGGTAGATCTGGGTGACCTGTACCGGGGGCGCCCCCCCGTCCCGTTTCCACTCACCGGCACTGCCGCCACCCGAAAAAAACACCAGCTGTGGCAAACCTGGTCTAGTGATTCTGGCCAGTTCGAAGGCTCCGTGGCCCTACCACTATCGGGTCGGGCGAAAGGGGGGGACAGCAAAGGGGGGTTGAGAATCAGCTCACGCAGCTGATTTTGCCGGCGCCGGAGGCGGCTAGGTATCGAGGAATGGGCCCCTCCCCTCGGTGAGGCCGAAACCAGCTGCATGCAGCAAATTTCGTACCCCCCCTTTCCCCATCCCCCCCTTTCGTCCGGCCCGACACTCACCGGGTCCCCTTACCCGGGGGTCCTGGCCATACCCGCCCATCGCCGTCCTGGCGACACCCCCCCTTGCAGCCCCTGGCGGGCTCCGCGCGCCGGGGAGCGGAGCCCGGCGCGGAGCCCCAAGGAGCCCGCGCGGACCTCCGAAAGGTCACGCTGCGTGTCTGGCCATCGCTCGGTCGTCCATTCCCTGTGTTTTTTTTTGTCTCGTGCGTGGCTTCTTCACCAAATGATCAAGGATGCTCCTCGATGGTCATCGCCGGAGGAAAAATGCACACGTCCGAGCGATGCCAAGGTTTTCGATCACGGTTTCGGGCGCGTTCTCGGTCAGTCGTGCTTCGGCTGATGGTCGAGAGCAGTCCCAAGTCGGGCGTGTCCCCCTACCTACAAGGGGATCTTCGACGAACAATAAGCAATAGGCAAAAAATCCCCCCAAATACTCAAAAATAGTCAAGATGTCGTCCCCAGGCTAGTTTTTGACTATTTTACCTAACAGCTTGTTCTGATAGGTTTCTAGTGGTGTCAAAAGAGAGCAGCAGATGACTCCACAGGGGGGTCTGGGCGGGTGCCGGACAGGGGGGTGCCGCAGAAGTCGTTTTAAGCCAACAATCACACACTTCGTGCTCTTCGACCTCCCAGAACTCCATTCCCGGGCCACATTCTGAATGCCCGGAGCAAACTGTAGGCCACTTCGTGCTCTTCGATTTCCCAGAACTCCATTCCCGGGCCACATTTTGGATGCCCGGAGCCAACTGTAGGCCACTTCGTGCTCTTCGATTTCCCAGAACTCCATTCCCGGGCCACATTTTGGATGCCCGGAGCCAACTGTAGGCCACTTCGTGCTCTTCGTGAACTCCATTCCCGGGCCAGGATGCCCGGAGCCAACTGTAGGCCACTTCAAGGAGAATTCCAAGGGCATGATTTTGAATGCCCGGAGCCAACTGTAGGCCACTTCGTGTTCTTCTATTTCCCAGAACTCCATTCCTGGGCCACATTTTGAATGCTGAGGCAGGCTGATGCTGCGGCCGAGGCAGGCTGAGGCTGAGGCAGGCTGAGGCTGAGGCCGAGGCTGAAGGCAGACTGAGGCTGAGGCTGAAGCAGACTGAGGCTGAGGCTGAGGCAGGCTGAGGCTGAGGCTGAAGCAGGCTGATGCTGAGGCAGGCTGAGGCTGAGGCTGAGGCTGATGCAGGCTGAGGCTGAGGCAGGCTGAGGCTGAGGCCGAGGCTGAAGGCAGACTGAGGCTGAGGCTGAAGCAGGCTGAGGCTGAGGCTGAGGCAGGCTGAGGCTGAGGCAGGCTGAGGCTGAGGCTGAGGCAGGCTGAGGCTGAGGCTGTGACTGCGACTGCCGTTGCCGCTGCGACTGTCATCGCGAATGCGACTACGACTGCGAGAACAGCAGAATTCGACAACTGGATTTTCATCTGAATCTTAAGGGGAATGCTTTCAGATATGCTTCTACACATCGCTGTTAGGTTGCTTTGCCGGGATAATTTGAATATTCCCCTCTTCAGGGGGACAGGCCCGACTCAAGATCAGTCCCACATCGGTTGCTGACCTTTGGCGCTGAACCCACAGGGGTCAATTGGCTTCTCTTTTGGAGTGAGCTCGACCTCGCGTCGGCACCCGCAGCGCGTGTTTCCATGCGCATGCGTTTCCTGAGGGGGGGCCGGTCGACCGGGCGGCGCGTTTTCTGCCTCAGGGCCGGTCCCGAATCCCAGCCCGAAGCCCAATTCGTCGGGTTTGGATATCTTTGAGTCTGTTTGAACATATGGGCGAATCAATGGGGATCTGTACACTTGCGAAGTATCGAATGATACTCAAACATCTTCCGGGCCCGCGGATCTGACCAGTTTTGGCCACGACACCGGGCCTGTCCAGACGCCACCGCGACGCGGCCTGGCAGTGCCAGACCTCATCGTGGTGGCCCCCGGCAGCGTATGCTTGCGCAGCGCCTTCGAGGTGCCATTCGGGGCGTTCGAATCCAATTGGCGGAATTCTGCAGTTGCCCGCTGGCGCGAAAGATCTTTCGAGGCGCGTCCCGCCAATCGTCGATGCGGCGCGGCAGTGCTGGCTTGCGCGGTTGCGTTGGGCCCCGCGGGCGCCCCTGAAGCCGCGCACCATGAGTCATTACTTCCTAGGCTTGCCATCGCTCGGACGTCAACTCGTGCGTGCTGTTTTACCAGATGATCCGGGATGCTCCTCGCTGGTCCTCGACGAGACACAATGCACACGTCCGAAAGATGCTACGAGCCTGGGGCCACTCTGACGTGTTGGTGGCTGGGCTGGGCGGCTGGGAATGGACACCAACATCAACACAGCGGGTTGCCTCCACCGGGGGAAGATCCTAGATTTCGGTGCTGGAAGCCACAATATTACCACCATCGCCGAGATCGGGATCTTCTTCCCTCGGTGGATGCACACCGCCGATATTGGTGTTGGTGTCAACCTCGAGGCCTGCGATGTTGGTGGCTGGGCGGCACGCGAACTGGGTCTGCGGTGGTCAGGCCCCAGCCACGCCGGCTTGGGCAGCCTCACTTCCCGCCGGCCCCCCCCGTCTGGGGGCGCCCGGCGCGCGGCCCGCGCGCCTGCGCCTCGCGGTCGACGGCGACGACGGCGACGACGTCGGCGGCGTCGACGGCGCTGGTGACCACGACAACGGCCACCGCGGCGGCGCTGGCGAACACGACGGCGGCGACTGCGACGCCGACGGCGTTGGCGACATCAACGACGGCGATGCCTCTTCGTGGGAGGCAACTCGTGGTAGGTCTTCACGGAGACCATTGAGGCGAATGCCGTAAGCTCGATTAAGACGCCATTGAGCAACAATCAACCCGACTGTGCCCAGAACTAAACGGAATGAGGCTGGACTAAGCGGCAATACGCTGGATAAGGACGATTGGCGACCACGGGTAGTTTAGCGCCAATACAACATGTAACCTCCCGGGGGTTGCACCTTGGTTTTCAAAAGTCCCTGAGCGAACCTGGAGAGGGCAACTTGGAAGGGAGGGCACGGCAACCCACATGCCCAACTGTGTGGGACCAATATTACCAACCTTTTGGGCGAAGGTGGCCTAACGAGTTCTTTCGTTCCCCTTCCAAAAACCTCTTCCCTTCTGGGAGGTTTTCCTCCCCCCCGGCGCATGAGGGCGCCCAAGATAGCCCAAGATAGCTTCAAGAAGGCCGCCGATGCTCGAACAGGGCCTCCAAAATTGCTCAAGATGGCCGACGGTGGTTCCAGATGGCTTCCGATGTGCCTCCAGTAGGCCCGACGAGGGCCATGAGACGGTTCCAAGTGCACTCGGAGCCCCTCAAGACCCCCTCCAAGATGCCCAAACCCTTCACCTCACAAACTAGCCTGGCGAAAGACCCAACAA